CTCTTTAATGTGTTTTCGCCGCTGCTTATTCAGGACATGGCCATTGTTCGGGTGACCCTCTTTAACGTGTTTTGTTTTTGGGGCCCAAAAAATAAGGGACCGAATCCAAACCATCCCTTATAAAGTAATCCCCACGGTCTCTCGGGGCCCTCAGTACCGTGGGAGCCTTATTGACTTATTGAAGACGTCTAATTTCCATTTTTCGGGGGAGGGGGGGGGGCCTCTTGTTAAAGGGGAGGTGGGGCCCTAAGATTAAACAGGGTGTAACATTACATCTAAGCCCGTCGAAGACCTTTGCTCAACAGCACACGTTTGCTATAAACCAGTGGAAGCGCGTTCCAAAACTATCTGGATATTTATAGGGGTCCCGCGACACAACAGCTGTACCTGGATCCCCAAAGTGTAGAATAGTTGTTCAATCGTTTTTGAAACTTGATTTCTACCAATGTCTGAGGTACAGGTACTTTTCTTCATTCAAGATGCAAGACCTTAAAAATCCACAATTTACACGGAGTACCAGCGATACAAATTCCTACAACATTCATACGAAATCCTTGTAGCTCCTGCATCAACACTATATACTCCTCAAAGTAAGATCCCCGGATTTAGTGATGAGGGCCCTACCAAGCGCCGCAAAGACAGCGCCAGCGAGGGCCACGGCCGCGTTGCGCACGCGCGGGCTGCGGAGGGGCCGAGCTTTTGATGAGAAGGGGGCAAAAAGATTTCGGTGCACATTTGCTGGAAGTATATGTGGCTGGCAAGAGTTGTTGGCACAGACAAGTATGTGGATCCAAAGGGCATTCTCAATATCTTCGTCTTTGTGTCGCCTAGAGAATCTGGCACAAATTTTGCCTTCCCGGTGAGGTTGAAGCGTTGGCAGTGGAAGAGATCGATGATCCAGATGCCTGTTGCCTTCTGATGCCCGTTGTTGCTGGTGCTCCCCAAGCCACTGCAACGGCTATCACCACTGCCACTGACGATGCCACTGACGAGGTCACTACATCCACTGCCCGTAGAAACCACATCCTATATGTCGACCTCAACCTGCGTTTGTAAGCTGCGCGTGCGATGCTGCCGCCTTTACGGCGGCGCCACAACCGGTCAGAAGTAAGTCTCCAAAGCAGAGCTCCCGTCTGGAGAGCCTTGATGAGCCCTGTCGTAGAGATTGGAGTGAGGAGTAACATAAGCAATGCAGTTCTGCAGATCACTCGTTAAAAGAATGAGTTCAAGAAACTTGGAAAATCATGCTCTTAGCATCGATACCTTGCCGGCCTAGATAGCTTCCTAACGCGGAAGGCCTCCCTGAAGGCCATGACGTCCTGCCCGAATCGGCTATTCCCATCAGAGCGCCTCCAGAAGGGGACTCCTATTTGAGATCAGCCGGCCAAGCTCAGGCGCCCATTGGCGACACGTGGTCAGCCTTGATCCTGTCCAGGGATGGTCAGAAAACGCAAGGACAGTAAAGGTAAAGGCAAAAGACCAACGCTATCAATGCGCAACGGCTTGTTTACTCCTCTGATATGTAGAGCCGGCGCTATGATTCATGGTGGCACTTGCATATTGTTCACTATCACCGATGATGTGTGCTTGCACTGCCTGCTTCCACAACAGCGTTCTGGTTTCCAACTGGCAAGATGAGTGATTGTCTCAATCCGTGTCTCAATCCTGCCAAGCATCCAGAAACGCAAGCAAGTCTAAGCCGTCCCAGGAGTGCAACCAAGCTGGTAACACAACCATACTAATGAAGAAAGTCAGAGCTGCCTGTAACATGACCATCCCTGAAACATGAAGAAGGTTGCTGTTGCTGTAGGGGCACAGTCGCTGAAGCAGGTTCAACTAGACCAGAAGGTTCAGCTAGAGCCAAGTGACGGGAGTTTCTGAAACCTGCGCAGGACACATGTCCAAAAATGGGAAGCTCCTCCACTGAAACAGCTTCTCCAAATGGTCAAGGAGCCTCCAAACATAAATTTTCAGAAAATTCTGCGACCCAGCATCCCGTATGTACAGCCCCGCCAAATATCCCAAGAACTGTCCTCAGGTAGATTGCAATGGTTGTGGGGAGTCCGTAAAACAATTTTCCCCGTTCATTCCGAAGGCTCTGCTAGGACCCCCATTGTCAGCAGCCCTAAAGCCCATACCCTGACCTGCAAATCTCAAAAGCCTCGTGCAAGACAGAGTGGAAGATGGAATGGAAAATCAAATGGCAAGTAGGGCACTAAAGTGTCCATGTAGGAATACCAGAACAAGAACATATGGGTGGTTGTCAAAATTATGGTCCCTTTTGGGGTCCCTATCATAATATTTAGGGTACCCAAAAAGGCACCATAATTTTGACAACCACCCATATACGGCCCAAAAACCTGTTGGGCCTCCTCACTTCCTCGGAGATCTTTGACTGCGCGGAGACGGCCTGCTCCATGGCCTGGAAGGCGATGGCCGAATAGTCCGTGCTTTCATGCAATAGCTTACAGTAACAGTTACCACAAGGGGTAATAGGAATTATAATAGCTCCTTAATAAGGCCCCCTTTAAGGACAGTTACTGGGTGGGGGAATGACCCAAGCAATAGGGTTTAGAGGGCCTATTGAATCAGAGTAGGCTCGAGAGGATTGTCAACATCTTGGTTTCCTTGGGGTCTCGAATAGAATACAGCCGCTACGTAATGTTTAGGCCAAATGTGACCGTGATTTTGTTGGGGTTACCAGGGCAAAAATTTTGGTGATGGTAATCATCCCCCCTGCTGCTCCTGACCTAGCAATACATAAGTAGCCCGAAACAAGCTTCAGCAAGGGGTGGCAGAGTGGAAACCCACGATGCAAGGGACATCCTGACATCCTGGATCAGGCTTCAAGCTTCAGAGTTTAGGGTTTAAGTTCTGTACTGTGAGGCTTGCTAATTCATCGGGACTTCTCAGTGTCTAGAATTCTGGGCTAAGGAGAAACGTGAAAAAACTCACCATTCAGATTTTTACAGGAGTAAAATGGTCCTCCAAGTGGACAACACACATGTAAAAATTCACAGAAATTCCTAAGGAACCCTGTCTACCTTTACCGAAAACCTATAAACCAATCCAAACTCACAGAATGAAAAGGGGACATGGTACGTGCCGGTATCATGCGAGAGGCTATTCTGTGGCTTTCCATACAAGCGAGGATGTGAGCCCAAACTGAAAGGCTAGAAAGGTTCGCAAGGGCTTCCTGAAAGTTCCCTCATAGGAATTCTGGGCACGCTACATTGCAAGTTAGGTGTGCTCGTAATGCTTGATATTTTCCAAAACGGTTGGTCACCTTGCACACGCCAATACCTGGGTTCACACGAAAAAGTCAGCGATGCCCATCAGAAGAAGACCCGACTCCCATGCGCAGGCCAACAGTCCTCAGACACCCTTACTAACCAACTGACGCCAAAGCATCAGGCTTTTTTCAACCACAGGTAGGGGTTATGTACGGACCGAGGGAATCAGGGGAGTCGATGGCAGCATTGGGAACTTCCAGATAGAAGATCTATTGACTGTTCTGAGGGCACTTCCATGTTGCAGATTCGTACTCCTTACACAGCTCTGTGATTTCTATAATTCTTGTGCAACTGTCGTTAATATTTGTTGCCTACTGAGCCTCGTTTTTGTCTGGATTGTATTCGCATCAGCTTTGGCGTTTAAGGGACCCTGGATCTTAGCTCGCGGAACCTTGAACTCTGAAGCTTAAACCCAAACTCCAAGCCCAAAGCTCTGAACCCTCAAGCCTAGGTCCTGAAGCCTCAATCGTAAGTAAACCCTGAATCCCAAAGCCTAAACCCTAAAACCCTAAACCCTACACCCTAAATCTTAAATAATAGCTTCCGTTTTATGTTCCATCATCCCAATATACCCCCCACATACCCCCAATGTAACCCCAATGTACCCCCAATATAACCCCAAATATAACCCTAATATATAACCCATTGTAGTAGTTTCCATTTTCTTTTCCATTATCCCTATGTAACCCCAATATACTATAGGCCTCGTCAGCAAGGTTTTGGTGGCGCTTTGCCTGCTCCTCGGCACTGGCGACCTCCTGGCTCATCAGCTTCACCTCCCGGCCCAACAGTCAGGTTATAATGGGGGTAGATTGGGGTTATATAGGGGTTTAGGGTTTAGGTTGAAGTTATATGGGATTGGGGTTATATTGGGGGTATATTGAGATAATGGAAACTACTATTTAAGGTATAGGGTGTAGGGTTTAGGGCTTTAGGGCTTAGGCTTTGGGGTTCAGGGTTGTGGATGTAGGTTATTCAAATAATTGTTTAGTATTACATGAATACAATATTAATACAATTACGTACTCCTACTATTAGTACTGTGCATAGTAGAAGAGCTATCTATTATTTAGGGTCGAGGACCAACATTTCGGAAGTGGGGTTTTCAGAGCCAGAATAATTCACATTAAGCCCACTTATGCGGTCATCAACTTCACCCGCCAGTGCGCTACAGACCTACGTGAGTTTAGGGTTTGGGACTTAGGGTTTAGGGCTTGCGGGCCGCAACACTGGGCATCGGGTCTGGAGCATATGAGAAGGCGAGACTTACAGTATGAAAACGCCGCGAACATTCACTTCCAGGGGAATGTCAAGTCTGTACAGGGTATGCGGTGGCATGTGTGATGTACACATGGCTTGAAAGTTTGAGCCAGAATGAGTGGCTAGTGTTTATGCAAGTTCTGGGCTCTTTTGGGGGGGGTCCTGCTGGAAGGGATCTCTGGTTTGGGGGAGTCTACACGGAAGGTTGATGCTGTTGGCTTTGGGCACCTGAGAGTAAGAAATAACCGTGGACATAACCCAACTCTAATATTTGGAGCGGGCTGTCAATGCCTTAACGTGTGGCAAGGTCCGGGATTTTACGCTCAGGTAACAAGAGCTTCAAGAATTACGGGGGCAGGCCGGGCAGATTGTCTTGACATGTCTGAAGTGCCCCAAGTTTGATGTTGTGGGCTCAGCTTTATTATTCAAGATACTGTGACTATTGCTTCTTACAGTAAGACTAAAGTCTATAGGGCTCATGGCTTGTAAGGTCTAGTATTTGAGAGATCGATGTTTTAAACTGCTTTCATGGCCCGCCTGCCTTAAGGCAGGTACTGCGTTGTGCGCATGCCCGGTTTGAAGCTCAGCTGTTCACTGAAAAACTGCGCTTCTATGAGGGAATACAGTCCCTATGGGGCCTATACTTTGTAAGATATTCCCTGATTCCTGACTAACCCCAGTAAGATCAGGGTGTGAGGTTTAGGGCTTCAGGGTAGCGATTGCTAGGCATCCTCAGCATGCCCTTCTCTTCAGGACTCGGGGATATGTCTGCACTGGGGTTCCTGTCAAAAACAATACAAACCCCCCGGACCCGCCACGAATAACTCGGCAGATATGCAAAGCCCATTTTTCGACTCGCTGAGCATGCGCGGTCTGGAGTCTACCGGGCAGATCCCAAGGCCGTGCATTGATTGCTGGCATAAATCGAACTCTAATCATTCCAACAACAGCAGAAGCGGCAGTAGCTAAAAAAACACTAGCGAACATTATTTACTTCGAGCATCCCCACCCTAAAGCCGTTATTGCACAAGAAGTGTAACGTTTCCCTGCCCCCCCTCAACTGTCTTCCTTGCAGCACTGCAAATGCGCTGCAAGAATATTGATGCTCCGCTGTTGGCCACTCCAGGGATACACTCTGCGGTTGGGCACTGCAGGGATACTTGGTGGTGGGGCACTGCAGGGATACTCGGCGGCTGGGCACTGCAGGGATACTTTGCGGTTGGGCACATCCGTTAAGCATTGCAGGGATCGGATACTCGTTGGTTAACCACTGCAGGGATACTTTTCAGTTGGGCCTGCAGGGATATTTGGCGGTTGGACACTGCAGGGATACTCTGCGGTTGGACACTGCAGGGATGCTCTGCAGTTGGGCACTGCGGGGATACTCTGCGGTTTGGCACTGCAGGGATACTTGGTGGTGGGGCACTGCAGGGATACTCGGCGGTTCGGCACTGCAGGCATACTCTGCAGTTGGGCACTGCACGGATACTCTGCAGTTGGGCACTGCACGGATACTTGGTGGTGGGGCACTGCACGGATACTCTGCGGTTGGGCACATCCGCTAAGCAATGCAGGGATACTCATTGGTTGGGCACTGCACGGATACTTGGTGGTTGGTCACTAAAGTCAGCTTCCAGTCGGGCGAGGACAACATCTACCTTGAAATCTAACAACCCCACTGCGAGGGTGGGGAATAACAGACAGAAGACACGAAAGCATGAGCAGAGAATATGGCAACCCGTAAGACTCGAGATACTGCCTCTTTATGGAAGCATTTGCTGTCGCAACAAAGACCAGGACGACGATGCTCACACTTGGGATATGTCGCGTGAATGTTGGAGGTCCTTCAGGGAAATCCTGTCTGCCATTGTTTGCTTCTTATTGGGAGGGGGCGACATCTTCACAATGCTGTCTTGTAGGTCCTGCGTTCTGCTTGCCAAGCATAAAACCTCCGCCCTGGACTCTGCTTCACTCCGGCCGGCAACTGAGGGATCCTTCCTAAACTTTCGCTGGATCCTACTCTGCGAAGCCTTGTTATCGTTGATCACATGGAGCTGTTGTGAGGGTAGATGGGGCGATTAGCAGCCATATTGGCCCTTTGGGGATCATGGAGGCTTTATGCTGACAGTCCGGAAGTAGCCAACGTAGGTTCTCTTGAGCTTCCTGGATCACCGCTTAGCTATATATGGGTCGTGGATTCTGCGGACTAGGTAATGACGACATCAGGGCAGTCAAGGACACTTTGTCACAGGTTCGCCCCTGTCAAGATCTTGGTCTACAACCTCCTGGAGCAGTCATAGAGAAGCATCACTGGAGACCATGAAATCAAGGTACTGCCAGGAAGGAACTTCTGATAACGCAATAGAACTTCTGCAGTTGAAGAGTCCGCTTGTCCAACTGAAGGAAATCATATGGGTTCATATTAATGTTTCGGGTGCCCAGTTTGGATCATTTTGACAGTCATGATATTCGCTCCGGAGCAAGGGGACCCTACTTTTGATATCTTTTTGATACATACTCAACTCCTTTGGAACCTCTTTGAAACACTACAGAACCCTAGAGGGCCTTGCATTGTAGCTGCGCTCACTGTATCAGGACGGCTAGTCCTGCAGAGGAGAAGCCACAAAAAATTAGACATACCCCCCTGAGTGTCTCAGCTCTTGTTCTGCAATGGCCACTTCACATATTGGCCTGTGGATTCAGCTGGTTTGTCCGCTGATGTTCTAGAAACAGCCATGGTTGAGGAGTGTTGGAAGACCTTGGGCTACTCAAACGAAGCCTCAAATGAAGACTCAATGGATATGTTCCTTCACGCCATGGCCTAACTGCGATGCCGGCAACGGAGCTAGATAACACTAGTCTAGTAGAACGCCTTGGGCGCAGCTGCTTCTTCCAAACTCCAAGTGATGTCAAATACTGCCAATGATTGCCTAAGGCCTGTTGTTGTCATTTGTAACGTGGAGTATAGAGGTCCGACTTACTAATGGCTCAGGATCCCGGGTTGTTGATCCCAATAGCAAAGTAGGCACGCTTCTGAGGGAAGGATTAAAAAAAAAGGGGTACACAGGCGCGGAACAACTGAAGCAATGTAAATCTGAAAAACGATCCAGCAAGCCATGGCTCACAGTTTCTGAGAAACCGCGTGATTCGGCTGGACTAGGTCAAATATTATCTGCCATTCCAAAACCTCCATCTTCCAACCTTCACATACACCTGTCCCCAGGCCTTCTTTTCGCTTTCATCCGCGGGCTTGTCGCTGTCCTTGCTTCAAACCAATGCGATAGGACATAGAAAGAATCTCAAAAACGGTAGCTTTTCGGGTATCTCTGTCATCGGAGCAGCTCAGAATGAGACTTGCAATTCTTCTTGCAGGGTCTGTATTTGGAGACATGATCAAATTGCAACCTCTTTGGGGCTCCTTGCATGCCACCACTCGGGAAGTCCTAGGGTTCGCCGGGATGCGATGGGCGACAGACACAGCGACATAGTGGAATGATGCCCTCGAGAGCTGCTATGATGCAAAATCGTAGTGCCAACTTTGTAAGGTCTTAGATTGAAGACTCCTACCCAGTACAAGTTTGGGGCTCATGCGGAACTCGGTGAGGCCTGTACCCTTTTAGCCGGTCTTTCCGGTTCCCAAGCACCACAACAGCACAACGCTGATGCCAGAAATCATGTATCAGTTTAAGCGTCTTGTCCTGCAAGATTTCCTACATGAACGTTGGTCATCGGCTTCTCATGCCGCCTGTGCCTGCTCAACCTCTTGCACTTCGCACCTCTACGACAGCTTGAACGCTACAATATGTATTCCCCAAATGATACCTGGAAGATCAAGCAAAGCACCCAGAGATCGGAAATCTCGGGTAACCAATCCTCTTTAAGGCCTGCAGACCCCGTTCGGACCCCCTACGACTTGCGCAAGAGCCCCACATAATCCATCCATATAATTTTGCCACATGCCTGAAGCGAGAGCACCAGATCCCTAAACTCCAGAACCCAAATTCACAGAAAAATTAAGCACCTGGACCTAAACCCTCCCCCTTCAAGCACTGCTCTCCTCATCTTTGCTGTCTTTGCTGTCTGCATCTTCGCTGCTTTCGCCTTCCTCACTCTCTTCGGTGCTGGCTTCCTCTTCCCCCTGTGGAACACGGTCTATCCCATGGGTCATAGGCAGTTCCTTTTCGGGGGTATACTGTAGGCCCAAAAAATTAGGAAAACCATTAATTAAAGGAAACGAACAGGAACAATCCCATGGTTCAGGAGTTGAGGTTCAGGGTTGGACGACGCGCAAGAGGATAAAGGTCTGCGGGCTTTGGCTTTGGCCCACATGGGCTCTGTCAAAATTAGAATTAGGGCCAGGACCCCCCACTCAAAAATGGGTAGATGCATATTTTGAGGGAGCTATTTTCTCTCAACCACCTCGGCCCACCTGGATATCATACTGTTGATAAGTATGAGACCTGTAGACGAAGATGTGATGGAGGAACATTAAACTGGAATACTTTTAGGATCTTGG